CACATGCGCACACACACACACACAGGTATACATGCGCCCCTGCCCCCGTTTCCGCTCGAGATCCCCGCCCTCCGCCCCTCATCGCGAAAATCGATCCGCCACCGGCCTGGACAGCAGTCCACGTCGAACGGCTCCGACCTGCACCCTCCACGACGAGCGTTCGGGGGGCCAGCTGCAGCGTCGTCCGACACCCCGACACACCGATCGATCCCCAATCAACGCCATTACGTGGTAAAGACCGGGGGGCGGTTGCCTGTCGACGGTGCGGTCGGCGATGATGATGCGCGACCACCGATCTCGCGTTACTCGCCGAGAGAGAGCTGTCCTCTCCTCTCGCGATGCGTCCCGCCGACGGTGCGTCCTTACCTTCCCTCTCAGCGCGCCGACCGAACCGCGTCGCTCATCCTCCCGCGATCCCGCCGCCGAAAGGGTTCACCAGCGCGGGTCGCTCGTCACGGCGGCATCGGACGTCGTTATCAACCTGCCCGTGACCCGGGCTCGCCTCCACCAGCCCGTACACCGGGACGACCGACGATCCTCTCCGTGGCTGTCACTCTCGCTCGAACGAAAGAGCGGCGAACGGGTGGCGCGATTTCACGCGAATACGCGCGTTCGATCCCACTCGGCCTCTCTCTCTCTCTCTCTCTCTCTCTCTTCCGTTCTCTTTCGTCCGCGCGCGCGGAAAGCCTCGGTCGCGTTCGATCGTGCGAGTAGCAACTCCTGGCTCGCGCGAATCACCGACGGTCCGTTGACAGTCGGCCGGGCAGCAACTCGCGGCTTCCGATGATTTCTTCGCGATTTCTCTCTCGCTCTCTCTCTCTCTCTCTCGACCTTTCGCCGCCCCTGCGTCTCTCTTTCTCTCTCTCGCTCTCGCGGCTGCGCTCGCACGGTCTCGCCGACTGAACGATGAAAACGGCGCGTGAAGCCGTCGCGACCGGCGGCACCAGACTGCGCGAGAAATCGCCGGACGCCGCGTTCACGGCCCTCCGACACCCCCGAGAGCCCCTTCCGACCACACCGCCCCCGCACCGACCGCCGCGGCTTCGACGTCGCGCCTTCCCTCGCGTCGCCCCCGTCCGCCGCGTCCTCGTCCTCGCCCTCTGCCGCCGCCGTCGTCCTTTGTTTCGCACAGGCGCACCGCGCGCCGCGGCTGCGCGCGCGCGCGCTGCCACCGACGCTTGCGCTCCCGCTCGTCGGACGCGCTTTCTCTCTCGCCGTCGTTCGCGTTCTACGATACTATCGAGGTATCGATAATTGAATTTTCATGCACCGTGCAAGCGATACCGCGCATGTTGTTCTTAGCCGCCATCGGTGTGTTGTGTATCGGACGGAGCGTGCCGGAACGAGATTTCTTTGATCTTTTTCCCGTCGACGGACCCGGGAAGAGAGAGAGAGAGAGAGAGAGGGAGAGAGAAAGAGAGAAGATGCTTGTGGGATTCACGGATCTCTCTTTCTGTTATCTTTTCGTCGGTTTTGTCCAACGTGAGAAGGGTAACACACTGGATTCTTACGATTTGGGGCTGCGCGTCCTTAACGTTGTTGCAACGTGCGAAGCTGTATATAAATGTGGCGTGAAACTGAAATTATGACGTACGTAATAAACACGGGCGTAATCAGGATTTCAGACAGGGAGGAAGGAGGTGGCAGAAATTTATCTTCACACGGAACTTATGTTAAAGCCAGTCTTTGCGAATCTTCGGTGAATTGTCTCAAGCGGCTACGTACGCCTGAACGGCTCAAAAAACGTCCAATATTTGCATTTTTCCGCTGACCACATTATTGACTTTATGAAGATGTCCTTTTGAGACGCGATACTTCATATTTTTATTTACATATTACATAAAGCCCATTACAAAAAGTTAATATGTAACGCTGTAGTTATACATAATGCTTCCGTGAAGCTCTACGTTAAGTCTTCAAATGGAGAAAAGCAATAACTTCCCATCTGTAACATCAAAGGAAGTACAACAAAAGACACTTGAAGGCCTGATGTGGAACTGACTAGATTTAATTAGTAAGTCTAAAATTTCGACTCTGGTTCAGTTGACCCCGTTTTTATTAGATCGAAGGAGGTCCATTTACCGTGAAAACGAGTGGCTGTGACGATTTGCACACGAGTATATCCGAATGGTATGAACGCATTATTGAGTATTTTGACTAATAAAGACATACAGTGCTGTGTAAATTTGACATATGTAAATGTACATTCAGTTACGAGCGGAAAATACTATTTCAACGCTCACGAGCATATTGCACATTACAAGTAGCACGAGTAAATACATGACTCTCTAACGTGCTTCTTTCGGCATTAAAACGAAACTGATTGTGAATAAAAGAGGAACGTATTAACGTTCGCTCATTCTCTCACTCATCAGCTGAAAAACAAATGTTGCGAAAAGGCAACCTTCTCAAAAGTACTCCCGTGTACTCGTCATCCCAAGCAGCACAAATCGGTCGGCAAATCCGTGGTCCAACGTTTGGCCGATGTTGCTGCACCAACCCATTCGTGCTGCCCGGGATATTCCTCCGCTTAATAGACGTGCGCAAATGCCTGAAGGTGCAAGAAATGGGCTGTAGGAGGGAAAAGTCGGAGGAGTAAACTCAGTGAAATATTTTTAAGCTTTAAGAGGATACACATCCGGTTCGTTTGATATCGCTTCTTATCGATGGACGTCGCACAGCGACGTCAGGTCTAAGCATCGGTGATTAAGCGTGCGACGACGGCCTTACGCCGATGTCGACGCGCGATGTCGATGATGTAATCAGTGCCGAACGGTGCCCGAGATGTCTGACGACGGACGGCAACGCGTCGTAACGTTTCCCCAACGATCCGTCGATCAGGTAAGGCGCGCGCGCGCGGCCGGAAGACGGCGTACTCCATGTTTTTAGCCGCATTGTGTTAGCTCGCACAATTACCCTAATTGATCTGCCGGTGCGCGATGAGATCTCCGCTTCTTCGCCCGAAGTACGTCACTGGTTACGGCGCTATCGCCTCGTAGGCAACCCCCCCTCCCTACTGCGACGTACCGTTGACGCGTTTCCACCCCCCTTCCTCCCTTCATACCACCCCCGAGTCGGACGTCAGGCGGAGGGTGGCAGCACGTGTTGCCACCCTTTTCCATCGGGTTGCTGCTGCTGCTGCTGATGCTCGTCAAGACGCAGACGCACCGTCCTGTGCAGGGTCACTGTTGCGTCGAGGTGAAGACGCGACGGAGTGCGCGTCCTCTGCGATGCATCGCGAGAGATCCGGGGAATCCCGATCGAGGGCAGCGATCCCTCCCTCCCGCGAGCCCATTGGACGAGCCAGACGAGCCCTTAAGCTCGCTTTAAGCGAGCGAATCGAGAGAAATTTTCGCGACTACGTGCTATATATATATATATATATGCAAGCGCCGATAAATATAATCGACGCTTCGACGTAGCGACGTAGCGATGCGCCAAATGTGCTGTTAATTTTACTCCGGGATCATTTTATTACCTTTACTTTTAAGGTGGTAAGACGGAGAGGAAGAGAGGGAGGGGGATGAGGAGAACTCCCGCTTTCTTGCGAGGAGTTTTCGTCTCCTCGTGGAAGAAGGGTCTCCCTTTTGTTAATCATCATTCGAAAGTCAGGCGGCTGAGAAACGGATCGTTGCCTGGCGGAGCCGGGAGAAAAATATGCGTAGAAAATTAAAAATAATTATTCGTCCGTTGGGTATTAATAATGTATTTGTTTTGAGGTTGTAAGATGAAGTGAGCTCGATAAGAATTCGATGGGACTTGTGTTACGTGCATTGAAATATTATCTAACCGCTTGCGCGGTTGGGAAAGAAAAAATTGACTATTCAAGAGTTGAGATATTTGCAACTAAAGCTGACATCTTTTATATATGTACTCCTTGAGACTGCAAAAGATAAGATTAGTAAATAAATTTTTTTAAACTCTACAAGTTTTGTCCAGAACATTTCCTCTCAAAATCGCGTTCGTTTACGATAGGTATTCAACTCCTGTGTCCAGGCTTTCGGCCCACCCTGTATATGCACGTGAAGTCCGGCACTGACTTTGAGCAACCCCGTAAATAGAATAAACAATTGCTCTCATGCAAAGCCGGTAGATATGAGAATATACATACGTTCTCATTTGAAAGAAATATTGTCTCGGTATGTAAAAATATGTATACCGTTGCGAGTAAATATGTCAATAGCGTGCGCGCGCGCGCGCGCCGAGTAAATCATTTTACTTTTCAAGTGTTTAGATATCTCGGATAATTTTCGACATATTTTTTCCCTCGCACGGGGTGTAGCGAATGCTATCCGGGGGAAGAAGGGCGCGATCGAGCGCGCGCGCGAGATGCGCATCGAGCGACGAACGGCTCGTATCGACTTTCTAATCTTCGCCCTCCGCGCTCTCCGCGAGACTAGGTCAAACTCACGAGGCGGAGGTAAGGATTTTTCCGAAGCGGCTCGTCGATATATCCCAGACGGCCGCGTGAGCGAGCGAGCAACATTTAGGCGCGGTCTCGTGTAGGGGCTAATTCACTTCGCTCTGATTAGACGAAAAAGGCGGCGGCGCGCCCTCGCGGAATTCCGATCCCCCGAAATAGATAGAAATGGATAAGCATCGGGAGAATGACGCAGGATCAGCGGCGTGACACGCGACGACGAAATGATCCGACCAGATGATCGTCAGATATCCTCCGCCGGCCATCGCCGGTGACGCCCGATGAGGCCGCTAACGATGCTCCGATATCCGAGAACGCGAGGCCGATTCCCCCTTTCATTCCGCTCCCCTTGTGATCCACTCCTTTGATACGATCGGGTACATACCGGTCGGGGATCGGCCGGAAGCAATAACCACTGTCGGGAAAAACCCGGCTGGCGCCCAACGGAAAACCCGGCGAGATTCGCGCAACGACGCCAGAGAGCTGCCGTCAAGCGACTCAGATCCGCCGCCTAAAAATATATTTCGCGGAACAACGCAAGCGAGAGATCGCTCTCTGTAGATCGCGCGTTACGGGATCTCCCGGGGTAGAGAAGTTAGCTGTGTGTCTCTGAAGGACATAGGCTAACTAACGAGCTATGTTAATGTCACACCGTATCGTCGAGTATCGGTATGGTATAAGTAATTGTCTACCTTAAAGTCAAATCGAATTAAAGAGTTGTTATTGTTACCCCGGTCTCGAAATTATTACCTCTCCCGGCTTCCCTCCGACGCGTCCGCGAGTATCAAGGAAGAACGTGAAAGAACCACGACGCTCTACCACGAAGAATAGCGAGGGATTCGACTCGCTTTCAACGAAATAAACTGAGCTAGCTGAGGTAGGTCCGTTGCCACGTAAAGGCGGGAGCGAAGAAGTCCCGCAACCGACGTATACGTGAATCGCGGTGACAAATAAATGGATGAAATGAAATATATTTGTATTTTGTAATAGAAAAATTAATTTTCTAATAGATAATCATGCGGTTCTAGTCTTCATGTTATTAAGTAGACTATTCCTTCTTAATATTGTCATCAAACGGAAAGGAAGTGTACAGTGGAGACCTTCACGTCAAGAAACTTTCGAAGGATTCATCTTCCACATAAAAGTAAATTACTAAAAACTTATCATTAAAAAAATTAAATATATGTTATGTCGTAATGTTCTGTATTTTATACACAGTTTTCTGGATATTCAACCAACTTTGGATCCAAGAAGAAGAAAATTAAAAGAATTCGGTCTCACGTTACAACCTGTGGTAATTATTGTTGGGCCTACATTGAAAGAGATCCATCGATGTCTTGTATGAAATAGAAACAATGTTAAAGTCTATCGACATTATTTTTAAAGTTTTCCATACATTTCACTCAATACATTCTGAGGGATCCGAACGAATTTAGTTGTTTTTGTAAAAAGTAATATATAATATCGAAACTCAATGGGATAAAAAGGAAGGTATGCAGCTATTTTAATCATAATAAATGTGCGTTTGAAAACAAATATGATAAGTGAGTTTCAGTTATTGGTGTTTCACAATTACTTTCATAAGTCGAACGAATTTCAGTTATTTGCGAATAATTTGTTATTTCCGAATAATAGTTGATAATTATTTGAATTAAAGTTTTTTATTTGAAGAAAATGCTGCACTGTGCTCTGTGCAAAATTAATATGCCTTCTATTGAGTCTCTGGGACTGTATTTTAGAATCACACATAAAACTAAAATATTTAACACTTACTAATATGCTGAGCAAAACTGCAGTCGTACATTTAGCCAATTATTTGTGTTTCGTATCATTTTCCAATTTAAATTCTTCGCCTTGGCGAGAGACGTTGGATTGTTTATATTTGTTGTCTGCTGCCTCTCGCAATTTTCGACTTCTTCGAGAAGATTGTCGAAGTTCGTAATTTGTTGACTATCGCTACCTATATAAGTGACAGCGGTTCTCGATAGAAGCTAGCTGATATTTGACTTTCAACGAATCTAGACTATCCGATAATATACAAGATGCCGCTCACAATTGATCCTTTCTTAAATAAACCAGCAAGACTAATAAAGAATTTGCTAATCGGCGCCTGTACCCATCGTCTTCGCACCAGTAAATTAAGGTAGAGGTTCTACCTCGTTTGCGTCAATCGTAGATATCCCGAGATTATACGCAAAATAATCATCAACAATTTGCACTAAAAAAACATTTGATGAAAAAATATTATTTCCAAGGTTAATCGAAGTAATCAAAGTAATCAAAGTTAATCAAAGTAAATTTCCTCTAGATATTACACTTAATGAGAAAAATTCAAATAATTTCTTGGATGATTCTGACAAATACGATATGATAATATTTCTTTTCAAACAGATTTTAAGACATATGTTCGTAACGAAACTGATGTACTTATTTCTAAGCTTTATAATAATTCTTCTGTTCTACGCTCATATGTACAGATATAATTAATTATATTACACAACATTTTCTTGAAATGTGTTTTCATGAAATGCATTTTCTTGAAAGGTGTTTATTCTTATTATCAAATAAGATAAAATATATGCTTACAGCTGATAATGTTAATATTACGGTCATAAATAATGTCGATGCTATATTTCATGTTTTCGAAAATTTGAACGTGAAAACTTTTGAACATTTACAACTACAAATTGTATCGGGCGATCGAGTAATAAAGACAAGTTCAGTTTTTCTCAATCAAAAAGCACTTTATTAACTACCGCGCTTCACCAACTCCTCCCGCTCTACCGCGCTGTACAGGCCAACCCCACATTTCCGCGACGTTTCCGACTCGCAACGAAGTGATATTTTTTTTCGAAAACAACTTGAATATTAGAATATTTCGTCTAATCCGATTAAGTCAATTTTGAATGTTCTGATTGGGGATTTAGTTTAGGAGATTTTACGAAACAAATGAATTGAGCATCGCTGCTCGGATCAGAGATCAGATTGCCTGTTGCAAACACTCATGATCACTATTTCATTTAAAGTTTCCAGTTGCGAGCAACCTTATTTTGGCTTTAAGTGAAATCTTAGATAAGCGCAAATTAAAGAACTTCATATGCCGCATTTGCTTTGACTCTGACTTATTTCAAGTACCGTATTATTTTAAAGCTTTAAGTTTCGCTTCAAACCAAAATAATATTGATGTATGTAACCAGACTTAACAGCATTTAATTATAATAACAATTTAGGTGAAATGTACAAACCTATTGTCGTACAACCAACCAAAGCAATCAGCTGCTGCATATTCTAAAGTTTAATAGCTCTCACAGCCAGCGCGACGCACGACACGCCACACGACACGACACACGACACGCGATGCTCGGTATTTATTACTGCGTATGCTTTTTCAAAAGAGCTTTACACACTTTTTGAATATCTCGTTAGGTTGAGAGAGGGACATCTGGCTTATGTTCACTTCTACGTTCACGCGCTCTGTTATTGGCTGCGTTCAAAATACACATGCTATCATGGAATGGTCAGTGATTATTGGTCCTTACTGTTAGATCCTTAAATTTAGACCAATTCTATTAATGAATTTTTCAACTGTTGTCCGACTGTCACGTTTTCTAAACACAACCATTCCATTTTAATGTTCACTGCGACTTTTGCAGCCAGTGTGAGATATATAACACGCAATATCCAATGAGCGTGCAACTCTTCTTGAAAAGCAGTACACTCATTGGATATCGCGTCGTGCACCACACTGGACTGCGAGAGACAATAGTTTGGATATCTGGAACGAACCCTGATGGCGCGCTCACCGAACGCACTTTCGTGTCTCTGAAAAACAATCTTTACGATAACCTAAAAATACGTGAAGTTCAACGCGCTAGCAGTAGAGGGAAAGCGATTGATGTTTGAAGTGTTTCCTAACATTAGATTTTAAACGGCATCGTGCAGCATTTTGACATGGCGGTGTGTATTATCGTTTAAATAAATGCGTCATATATTTGCATCGATTAAAATACAAAATTGTTCTCACGCTTTCACAAGGTTATCGCGTCGAATATAACAGATCGTTCTGGTTTACTACGCCGGTTAACCTTATTTACTAAATATGATATCCTTGACATTAATTTTCGTATACGTTTTTCCCGCGATGTAAAATCTTACGTGAAACGTTATTGATGCAATTTTTTATTTTACCGCACAAGAGTACAAATATCTTTCATTAATTGATGAACATTCTTTGTCTCACATTGGTTGACACGGCAACCGACTGTTTGATCAATCTCGTTGCAATCATCATGACGCAATACTTCAATATTCAAATCCCTGTTATGTATCTGACCGATATCCTTCGTTTCAGGTTATGACAAATGTGCAAGAGGTCCCCGAAATCACCAAGATAGAGCGAATCGGCGCTCATTCTCACATCAGAGGTTTGGGACTCAATGACAGTTTGGAGCCCCGCCATGTAATTGTCTTACGTCACACTCAGGGACAAAGTACTCCCAGTAATTGTAGATAACCCAGTAACAGGGTTTTTTCAATTATCTCCTCACGTATCCCAAGGCATGGTCGGTCAGCTCATGGCTCGGCATGCAGATGGGGTCACATTGGAGATAATCAAAGAGGAAAAGATCGCTGTGGAAACTTCGTTGAGATAAGCAATACAGTTGATCACGACCGCTTCGCTGGTCAGTCGCTGCAGGAAGAGCACAGAGGTGGGTGTCGGTATAAGCGATGTGTAATTTATCGAACAAAATGAATCTGCCCGCGACGTTAATGATAACTAAATTTGTTTCATTTATTCGTTCATTTCCTTTCAATTACTTTAATCAGAAATCTCGTCTTTAATATTTTCTTATGGTCCTGTCCCAGGTAAAGAGATTAAGTGCCTTGACGAAAATAAAGGACCACCAAACGTCCTGCAACGGAATAAATGAGCTCTTCCGATCCTTCCGGTTCTTAAGCTGATCCGCAGACCTGCAAGTATGTTTGGGCCTCGCGGGTACGCAGTGTCTGTTGCGTACATCCTCTTCTAGGACGTAACAGGTAATATACTCAGTATTCAAAATTTTAATAATATGTCGTTAGTTTAGCGGCACATTCGATCAGAATACTATGGCAGATCCGTAGCCATCTGTGTTCGCATTAATCTCGTGTTCTGTCGACAGCGCCTGCTGACAAAACTTGACAGCAAATTGACAGTAGAAACTAAACAAGATCTGCAATATGTTCCGTCCCAATAACCAAGTGTCAATCGCAAAATGTACGCGAGCATGCTGTTATTGCGTCATCTAGATCTGACGAGTGCACGTCGGCTCATCGTGCTTAATAAATTGTTCGAACACCATGCCAGCATTTTACATTTCAAAATGATAGCATCAGCGTGCGCTGTGTACTGCGACAACACTGAATATCATCTCCTATATGGTATAAAATAGCACGATAAAACATAAAACTGATCGCACGCATGACGTGCTGGCGCACTTAATTATTGAGGATGACACTATATGCGTCCGTACATCGCGCGATCATGATTCGTATAAGTCAGGAAGCATAGGTTTCTTTCAAGAATATAATATTTCTAGTATTTTCAAGTGTTTTATGTATGAATTTGTTAAATAACGTACATGTACAAAATATGATACGAAAGTTATGTAGAGGTGAGATGACTTTGAATCCAAGACATGTATTTGGCCAAGTCAATAAACACTATGTATTGTTCAGTATTGCAATTATTTCCATTGTATAATATTCTTGTAGCCATACCGCGTAATTCATAACGATCCGTGGTGAAATTGTGCAGCACCAAATTGCTTCCGCTATCGATGGGAAGTAAATTTTTGCCTTTCAAAACAGCGCAAAAAGTACGATTTGAAATAAAACTGGCAAAGCGGCGATCGCGCTGTTCACATTCTTCCTGCGCAATAATAATGTTGCAGTCGTTTACAAAATTTATTACAAATTATTTGAAGGAAATTTGTAGAATCCCTATGGAAACATCCATATGTGCAATCGACGTAGAATTGACGTGGGATCGACTTTATTGCGTCAAAAAGTGCAAAGATTACATTAGAACCAATGTCATTTTGGCACATGCATTTGCACTGTCAAACATTATCATTCTCTTCTAAATAAAATGTAGCCACATTCGATTCTAATTAGCTATAGATCCTTAGCTATAGTATTTGCGTTCTCTGTTATTTGATGCTTAAGAGCAATTAGAGAGATATAAAATTTGAAAGAAATTTGGGTCCCGAAATCTTACTTGTTAATTATGAATCTTGACAATATTTATCGATTAAAGAGATATACCTGCATGCATCACTCCAATCGAAAGTGTATAATGGTTCTAACAAATCTATCCTTTATGGATACACAGCAAAGCGTAGCAACAGGTAATAAGTATGACATTACGATCGAAAGTCAATCACTGGCAATTTGCAATCAATAGTTATGCGTCATCGTTAGAAATGAAGAGACACAATGGAGAAAAAACACTTTTGACGGGGATATTCTTACCTGGCTGACTATTGGTATTTCTTCAATTCGTGGCGTTTTCAGATTAACTTTCATATCGACGTCTTTGCCAAATCCCAATGAAAGTGCCGACTTATTGACCATATCTTGAAGATCAGATGAACCGGTCCATAAACAAATTGGTCTGATCGTAGGGCTGTATTCGACAGAAGTCCGTAGAACCACAATAGCCAGGTCGGAGTCACCACTCCACTGGTGCTTATAGTCGGGATGAGCCTTATAGCTCTCGAGCTCTCGAAATGTGCATCCCATATTTTTCCCATCGTGTTGCCAGTCGCGACCCAAATACGCTAACATTGCGCTAGGAGGTATATTCTGACTTCGTTCCTCAGAGTTTTTAAAACAATGCGCCACTACAAAAAAAAAGCGATTACATATTTTCTTCCGTGTACAATACTGTAGGGACAGGCGGGAGGAGTAAGAGGGATGTAGGATAAATAATGTTAATATGCATACATAAATATATATTACATGTAATTTGATGCCGTGTCATTTACTAAAAGAAATTTATAAGTTTAAAAATATCTGATTGGAACAATTGTGTCTAAAAGATTCGACAAACAGAGTTTATGAATACATATAATATTAATCATATAGTATTAATGTTTCAGGCCTGTATTAAAAGTTGGAACTTATATTCAAAATCGTTTCAAGTTCATCTTCAGATGTTTCGTAACCAATGAAATGGGCCGAGCAGCTTGTGAAGATAATTCAAGACGGTCTTTGATACGAGATCCGATTATTAATACGGATCTTAGAGGCATTCAGTTGTGGCGGTTTTTTTAAAACAAAATAAATGAATGTGAGAGGAGAGGTATGTTTTTAATAGGGTGTTAAGCATGTTGAGGCATATCTTCTTTTTAGTTTTTGCAACAAACCTGTTAAAATATGTTTGTGCGTCACCAGGGAGCCGAAACATTTAAAACGAAAGTCGTTTTCCACGAAAAAGAATGCCACCAGCCACGACCATTGTCCTGGCGATGTTTTCGTCGTCATGTCGAAATATATATTAGTTTCTCTTACATTAATATTGCGACCACATTCGTTATATTTTTCACTGGGTTGGGGTTGATGGGGTTGATGGGGTTGTTGTTGAAGTCGGGTGGAAAGTTGAGAAGCATCTGAATTTAAGTAAATATCAATTAATTTTGTAGTCTCGTCGGAGACGCCGACACTTTCAGCTGTCATAGGAAGCGGCGTAGTGAATTCTTCTTCCGATTCAGAAGGATGATGACTCAGTTGTGTCATCGGTTTCGTGACAATCGATTCCAACGTCTGCATTTCTGATATATTGTTACCTGTATAAGTTTGCGTGTCTTCCAGCCGAACATCAGAAGAGACATTCTGCATGGACGGTATTATCATTGGCGGAAATAAAGTATGCAGTAGAACGATGGAAGTAACGATATTTCCTAACGCTGGAAAGACAAATGCAAAGTTTAATTAATTAAACTACATGTTCATCAGAAGTATAAAGAAAATTTATTTTCTACCAGAACGACAATCTTATTGGGACATGTAGAAAATGTAAGTTTTTTTCTTGTCCTTTTCCCGAATGGTACCGTACTCACCACGAGGCCCCGTGCAATATACTTGATTGTTGAGCTTTATGCTAGTTAATATCGGAAGCGGTTGCCTCAAAGGAAAGTATATACGGTAAGTCAATGGTCCGCCTTGTTGTACTATTTTAATCGAATCGTCTATTGATCGAGTCAATTCCAGTTCACCAACATAATCCTGAAATGCAGCAACGATTAAACTGTATTAAAATAACAAGTTTAATCGAAAAATTGACAGTAAAAATTATACAGTGAGATTTTCTTCGATACTTAGCTATTGTCAGAATGTCATTGAGAATAATAAATATTATATTATATAACAAAAGGAGTGCATGGCATAACAGACATCGTATTGGTCTACTATGCTAGCGATCCTGGTAGAAGCCAAGATTTTTACACTCGTGTCTCCTCTCGGAAAGGAGCGACAACCTACTGAGAAGAGTATCTTTGCAAAGGGAACTTCTCTAAATAATATGCCATTCGGAACCGGCGTTAAACTGTGTGGTCCCATAAGTCTGTGTATAGTCTGTATGCGCGCACCATAGGCATGTGAGAGAGGTCACCACATCTGGATACAAGCAACAGGACTGAGAAGAGGTGACAATAGGAATGCGTGAAATGTTTACCGTGGGTAATGAAGTGGCGATGCTTAAACTCACTCTCAAGTGCAGCTCAACATTTTTTGGCGGAGATAGAATCTGAATTTGTCCGACTATTTCATTTATCGAGGGATCATATATATATGTAAAGTATTCAAGACACGCAGATTGCCCGGACACTTCCATCAGCATACGAGACAGCTGCAGCAGCAATGCCGTCACAACAGAAAACTTGTCCATTGTGAAACTCTGTTACAAAGATGAGATTTACGTTTTAAGGTATACATGATTTGCGTACCCAGAAAATATTTTGTACGTAGATACTCAGCAAATTATATACAAAGGTTGCTCGTGTAAGCGCAAAGCTCGCAAGCGGAACCTTTTTCCAGTGCGCCATCATGGAACTACCAAATGATTAGCAAAATTGGCGTGTTATTATAAAAACGTAATATATTTGTAGCATCAACGAGGTTTTAATAATCGCTACGTGTTTTATAATATTTTTATGATATTATAGTAATAAATATAATAATCATATAATATATTTGTGTAACATATTATGGTTATGTTATATTATTGCCAATTTGTTTAAAATGGAAAATTACAACTCACACATATGTTGCTTGCAACATCCACGTTATGTCCATATTACTTGTTGTATTCCGTTATATTGCGACAATGTAACTGTTATATGATATAATGTTTATTGGAAACACATCATCTCGGAAACAGAAACATTTGTAGCGCGAACTTATTACGTCGAACATTACCGTCCGCAATGTCATGATAACGTTGCTAGCACTATCGATATAGCTCGCCAAATATAACTTTGAGCTAAATTGCGATAACAGCGAGCACCCCGGGCACTCCTTTTATATTGTATTTTACGAAATCTAAATAAATGATTATTATTCGTTTCTTCTATAACATTAGTTTTGCTACACTCTTCCTCTAATATGTACTACTCTATTTTAACGGCGCGCTGATGATTCACATTCACTAGATCTTATCACAGCAATGATTATCTCGGGTGTTAAGCGTGCAGATTTTCGGAGATTCGATCCGACGAACTCACCAAAATTTTGCCGAAGCACCGTCTAATCAGTTCTCTGCTGAAACCCGTCGACACACCCACATTTATTTCATCGGAAATATATTCTACCGCAGCAGTGGGGTATTCCGCGATATATTCTTGAGACCGGTCGTATCGTCTGGCTCGTCTAGAAAGAACGTGTTGGATCTAAAAACTAGATAAGGTAATAATAAATGCGGGAGAAGTACGATATTACGGTGGAAGGGGGGAAGATTTCACAAACACGTTTAATGCAGGACGGACCGGTTTTGCTGCTGTTATGCGTGGATATGTTACGTCTTGCGAATTTCGCGCGCAACATAAAATGCTCTTTTCTTTTCGCGATAGAAACATTTGATGAACGGCACATTTGATCCGTGATAAAATCGGAAAAATTGAAGAAATAGTAGGGTTCAATCAATCCGACAGGAAACTGTATAAACGTTATCTTACCGTATTTATTGGAGGATATGTGTCCGAAGCAGACTCTCAGTTCTCTTGACGACGCTTCGCTGAACGTGTCCGTCGTGCCTCAAGGTTGAAACGATCGAAAGACTTTAGAATCGCGTAATTTAAAGAGAAAATCCAACTTAGGGTAGACTATGTAAGTTATATGATTAGCATAATTAATAAACTACTTTATTCAAAATGTCTTATTTTTAACTAAATTTGTTTCATTTATTCGTTCATTTTCTTTTAATTACTTCAATCAGAAATCTCGTCTTGAACATTTTCTTACGGTCCTGTTCCAGGTAAAGAGATTAAATTCCTTGATCTAAATAAAGGACCACCAAACGTTCTGCAACGGAATAAATGAGCTCTTCCGATCCTTCCGGTTCTTAAGCTAATACGCAGACCTGCAAGTATGTTTGGGCCGCGCGAGTACGCGGTGTCTGTTGCGTACATCCTCTTCTAGGATGTAACAGATAATATACTCAGTATTCAAAATATTATTGATATGCCGGCAGATTGGCGGTACAATCGATCAGAATACTATGGTACATTACTATGGTATTAGGTTGGTGCGTATGAAATGTCGCATTCTCTTTACATGCGGA